CAGCTCGCCGTCGCGTGAAGCCATGTCGGCGACTCTCCTCTTGGAGCTCGAACTTATCGCCCTCTTGAGGTAGCGAGAGCACCCAAGGGCTTTGGATCTCAAACTGAGCGCCATGGAAACCCTTGTTTCTGCGATGACCTAGGGCACGCTGTGCTGGACGGTTTTGCTACTGCGTTTGCATGCCGATATATGATGTGAAATGGGTTGGGATGGACCCGGATGTGGGCCGAACCGGACAGGTCCCAGCGAGGCCCATGTCCGACCCCCTCTGTTCAGCAAGGCAGGCTGTGGGTCGCGCTGAGCCTTATGGTCGCTAGCCGTCCGCGGTGCGTCCGAGGGCTGGCATGACAACCCGTTCGGCCCGTCCCGTTAGCCCGCATAATTAATTTTAGGGCAATTTACATATTTATCCCTTAAAACTAATATTTGCATAACTACTCTCGAAATTATAGTATTCATAAAACTTATCCCAGTCTGAACTAGAAGAAACTACCCCTGTATTAAACGGTGTTAAACATGAAACTGATTATAGGTAATTTTACTCCTTCGCCCTTTTTCAAAAGAAGGAACAAAATAAAACTCTTCTCCCCCCAAAGAGTTGTTTTTGCTCCAAATTCTGCATCGTCTCTCGGACCTCCCCCCTCCAACCTCTTTATCCTCTACATTATTCTTCGCTCCCGCTGGTTTTCGATGAGGTCCTCTTGCGTGTCTTAGCTCTCGCTTGATCCAATTATGTAAGCAAAGAACTCTCCCCTCGTAAGGACCCTACACCACTCTTGATCAATTTCAATCGTAGATCTCAATCAGATAATTTTGAACTGTCCAATTTTATTGAATTCTAGATTTTCAGACACATGTCACATTCATTCTTTAAGTAAAAAGTCACGACTTGTTATACAATCTTTATTTGAAAATCAAGCTCTGGGTTGTAAATGTTGTTTCTATGGGTTTTCATAATGATTTGGGCTTTAAGAGAGAAAATTTATGGGCTTTATGGCATAATACCTTAAGGGTATCCATTAACCCATAATTTATCTCATAATCCTTCGTATAAAAGCTTTATTTTCTTCTCTCCTTCAAATATTAGGGCTGGGATTTTGGAGAGCTTGAAGGCCAAGAGAGAGAAGTTCTACACCCCAATGCAAATGTTCTTGCTTGTTAAACTTGTTATTTTAATATTCTAATTTATGGGTACTAGTATGCAAAATGTGTGTTGCACGTGATGCATGTTAAGAGACCATATAAGATGAAACATTTGAATGTCAACTAACATTTCAACATACCAATATTATTATTATTTATGAAACACTGATAGATATGAAAATCATGATTTGTTGAATCCATTGTCTTATTTTGGCAATTTCTTATGAAAACGAACGAGCATAACTAAGTGTCTTAAGTTTAATGCTTTGATTAATTTATTATTCCTCACTTATCAATTTGTTTTTCATGCTCTTAGTATTATTCATTGTTAGGCTTGCTATGCTCTTCCGCTTAGTGCCATGTCCTTGAAATCCTCATCTTCATCACCTTCGCCTACTATGATATCTTCTAACTTGTAAATCTCTTGAGTAGTTTTTCTTCCTTCCTTTCTTTTTTCCTCATCCCTCTTGTTCAACTTTACTAAGAAAATATATTGTTTATTACAACAATGCATCATTTTTTAGTACATTGGTGATAAATATTCCTACATTATATGTTTGGTTGATTAGTTTTTTTAAAATTATTTTATTAAAATAAGTTACTTTACATGCTGATAGTAATGCTTCCTTAGTATCTTTCCGTCTTCATCAAATGAATCTACGAACTCCTCAGGTGTACAACAAGTAAGAAGTTGGCTTCATAAAAAAAGGTAGCATGTGCTCTGTTGATATCATCTTTTACTTCCAATCGTATGAGATACCTTGTTTTAAAAAATGTTACTGCTATTGTTATTGTACAATGAAAAATAAAATTCTTTAACTTACTTGATTTTCCGTTCTGTGTCTTCCTTCTTGCATTTGTTGCATCTTGTTTTGTTGTCTTTGATGAATGCTTTCTTTTGCCAATTCTTGCATGTGGTGTAGTATGATGATTTCGGATTGATTATTAATGATATCTTCGCATTGAAGGTGCAAAACATATTCTTAAAAGATAATCTTTAGATTTTAGTTTCAAGGTTTATTCTTGTTTAGTTTTTAAGACTTCAATATAATAAAATTTTGTTTTATTCCTTAAATCTTTTATATTTTGTTACTAGTACCCGAAAACATTAAAAATTGATATAAAAATATTTCTCACCTTTTAAAGGATAAAAACACACTTGACTGACATGAATTCTAGAGCAAATATCCTTATAATATGCGAATGAGAAGGTGTTGATTCAAACAAAAGAAATTAAGATGGTAGAATAACATGCATTGTCCAAATTAGACATTAGCTGCTCCTTTAGGCAAACCAGATCATGGTTTGAGTAATTGTCAGATGCGTTTACATAATAGTTGCATTGGTGATATGCTAACAAAAAATAAATACTATAAGAGTAGTACAGAAAAATGTTAATTGCTTGATCATTAGAAGCTTAACTACTATGAACCCGAGAAAACCTTACAAATTTATTTGAAAAATGTGTCCTTATGAAAATAGATTTATGTTCTTCCTAAAGCAACAATCACAAGGTGGTATCAAATGGAATATATTATTAAATTCATATGATTGAATTGGTGCTATAAAAAATACAGCATAACATGATAAGTATTGCCCTTCGGAGGATATTATTAATTTAATATTTATGGATCCTCCATGTATGTTTTGTTAAACTTCTCATAGTCTCACGGTGATAATTTCCACCAATTTTTTCATGCAAAGGGTTATGAAGATCTCACATTCATAGTTTCAGCAAATTCATATTATGGATCTCTTCTATGCATGAGTTATATTGCAAGTTTCTAATAATATAATCTGATATCACTAAACAAATATAAATGCAGATTGCTTTCTCAAGAGTGTCAAGTTATATTCAGGTAGCTTGTACTCGAATTAAAAATTTATTCTGAAATGAACTTCGGCAATTCGATAACAACCATGTAATTACAAAATGTACGAAAACATACTCACATATAGGGAAAATCTGAATTTGAGTGAGACTATTTTCAAAACTAAATGTTTTAGTATAACACGATACAATGAAAATTTAAGTATACTAAAACTAAATGTTTTAGTATAACACGATACAATGAAAATTTAAGTATACTAAAACTAAATGTTTTAGTATAACATGAGAATAAATATATATTTTAGTGATTATTTGATAAATGTATATTTTTTGGAGAAATTCTAGAGTAACATGTATACATGAAATTATTAATTTAGAAACTCATCTATATAGATGTCATCACTTAAACCTCATGCATTATTATTATTGATGCCAGTTATCAAATAGGGGGTTTGCGGGATTATAGTGGTGTTTAGGTCCTCAAGCTCCTTCAAATGATTGGCTATGGGGCCCGCTATTCTTCCATGCACATGAAGAACTCGTAAGAGGCCAAAATTGGGTCCTGTGGTGGTTCCTCGATGATCAAGTTAGTGTTTGAGCTTGAGTGAATAAATCTATTTACCCTTTAAAAGAGGAAGTTCTTGAAAAACTTTCTCAACCCCAAAATACCCTTCAACTATTATAAATATAACAAATTTACACATTCTTATCGTTACACAGAGTTAAGAAATCGGGTGCCCTAGCCTTCGTTCCTTTCATTCTCCACTCCTTCGGTTACGAAATTGCTCCTTCGGTTACGCTTCTTCACCGGCGACACCATCCCACTTTCTTAACTCATCAATTGCCAACGATGTGTATTATTATCCTCATCATCACCGTTACCCCACTGCCATCATCTCCTCAATTCTCAGATTTTGGGCATCGGCTACGATCACGAAGGAGAATCAATGACGAATGTATGATTTGATCCTTTTCTATTTTACTTATGATTTTTAAATTTCTTTCTCTGTGCTACGATGCAGCCTTTTCCTTTGCGTCTCCACCTTTTTATTACGACGAAAGTTCGCTTCCACCGGAAATTGTTTTCCTCATCGCCTGAGTATCAAAATCCGGTGACAACTCATGCCCTTTATTGCATAATATTTTTTATTTCTGCTATGATATTTTTCTACAATGTCTGTTTCTACATTCGAAAACTATTAATCAAGAAAAGTACTGAAAAATAACATTAGCTATGATAGTTTTTCATGAATTATTTATAGGATTAAGGATATTTTTCTACATATTAAATTTCAATTTTGTTTATTTGATTATGTATTTTATATGATTGAATTGAAACAGAAAAACAGACACTTTTTAGACTGAAGCACTTTAAAAAGCTTGGTGTGATATTTGGATATGTAAATTTCTTAGATTTCAGATAAAATTAGGTATGATACTTGTATATGTGTATGTTCTTAGATTTTAAATAAAATTAGATACTTTATAGTTAGTATCAAGTGAATTATTGAGAACTTGCATTAGTCTAAGATTGTTTACAGCATATACTATCACATTTAATATGATGATATTCTATTTTTTAAGTGGTTTTGTTGACCTTCATCAATTGTGATGATTAGAACGCTAAAAGGAATTCCAGACATTAATTTGGTCATTACTTGTTTTTTTAACAATATAAACTGAGATTCATTCTTCGGCCAAGAGTTCGAGTTATAACAAATCTTATTGGGCCAAAAATATGAGTAAAGGATGATAACTTACAAAAAATTCTCTGGCCGGTTATGATTTATTCTTCAAAAAAAGAAGAAAATATTAGCATCTTAATTTCTAGATGAGCTTAGATATTATTTTTTGACTTACAGAAAATCTGGTATATATCCTCTGTTGTACTCAGTTTTACAATGAGTATACCATCAATCATCGTATGTCCAATTAGCACAAGTTTTCTCTGAGGATATTTACGTTCTATTCATTAGAATTTACTTTTTTTTCTTGCACTGCAATTAGTTT